ATGATGTCAGTCTGTGTGGTGGGACCTGACATGATGTCAGTCTGTGTGGTGGGACCTGACATGATATCAGTCTGTGTGGTGGGACCTGACATGATGTCAGTCTGTGGTGTGGGACCTGACATGATGTCAGTCTGTGTGGTGGGACCTGACATGATGTCAGTCTGTGTGGTGGGACCTGACATGATGTCAGTCTGTGTGGTGGGACCTGACATGATGTCTGTGTGGTGGGACCTGACATGATGTCAGTCTGAGTGGTGGGACCTGACATGATGTCAGTCTGTGTGGTGGGACCTGACATGATGTCAGTCTGTGTGGTGGGACCTGACATGATGTCTGTGTGGTGGGACCTGACATGATGTCAGTCTGTGGTGTGGGACCTGACATGATATCAGTCTGTGTGGTGGGACCTGACATGATGTCTGTGTGGTGGGACCTGACATGATGTCAGTCTGTGTGGTGGGACCTGACATGATGTCAGTCTGTGTGGTGGGACCTGACATGATGTCAGTCTGTGTGGTGGGACCTGACATGATGTCAGTCTGGTGGACCTGACATTGATATCATGTCATGAGTCTGTGTGGTGGGACCTGACATGATGTCAGTCTGTGTGGTGGGACCTGACATGATGTCAGTCTGGTGGTGTGGTGACCTGACTGACATGATCAGTCTGTGGTGGGGACCTGTCATGTCTGTGTGGTGGGACCTGACATGATGTGTGGTGGGACCTGACATGATGTCAGTCTGTGTGTGGGACCTGACATGATATGGGACCAGTCTGTCTGTGGTGGGACCTGACATGATGTCAGTCTGTGTGGTGGGACCTGACATGATGTCAGTCTGTGTGGTGGCATCTGACATGATATCAGTCTGTGTGGTGACTGTCTCCTAATATGTCAGTCTGTGTGGTGGGATCTGACATGATGTCAGTGTGTGTGGACCTGACATGATGTCAGTCTGTGTGGTGGGACCTGACATGATGTCAGTCTGTGTGGTGGGACCTGACATGATGTCAGTCTGTGTGGTGGGACCTGACATGATGTCAGTCTGTGTGGTGGGACCTGACATGATGTCAGTCTGTGTGGTGGGACCTGACATAATATCAGTCTATGTGGTGGGACCTGACATGATGTCAGTCTGTGTGGTGGGACCTGACATGATGTCAGTCTGTGTAGTGGTTACAGCACATAGTATAGTCTTGTGTGTATAGTCTTGTCTAGAAAATGATTCTAGACCCAAACAGTATGTTTGTTTTACTTACAGTTTACTTAGATTTGTTTGACTGGTTCTGCACCACTTGGTGATACATTGATGCATGGCAAACTTGATATTGTTCAAGAGACTTGTCTGTCAGGTTTTGCACCTCTTGTTAATAAATACATTGATGCATGGCAAACTAGATATTGTTAAGGAAACTTGTTTGCCAGGTTCTGTACCACTTGTTAATACATTGATGCATGACAAACTAGATATTGTTAAGGAGACTTGTTTGCCAGGTTCTGTACCACTTGTTAATACATTGATGCATGACAAACTATATCATTGTTAAGGAGACTTGTCTACCAGGTTCTGCACCACTTGGTGATACAGTAATGCATGACAAACTAGATAATTGTTAAAGAGACTTGTTTGGCAGGTTCTGCACCACTTGGTGATACAGTAATGCATGATATTATTAAGTGAACAGTGCAGAGGTACAAATAGATCATCACGATCTAAAGAGAATGGTGCAGAGGGAAGTGACCGGGTGATCTGGCCAAAGCTCAGATTGCCACTGTTACCATCAGAACTTGAGCTTTCCACTTGCTGATGAAGATACGGGTGGAGTAATTATAGGAATGGTCCTGAGAGCTTTGATATTGGTTCTAAACTCAGCACAGGTCAAATTTATGTACACTTGTCTCCGCGGAAATAGTTGCCTCCACTTTTGAGACAACATTTATTCCAGTTTTTTTTGTTTTAAATGTCTCCTGGAAATCCTTTTCTGTGACAGCATACATGTCTGGTAGGGTCTTTTCTGTGGTCTTCTTCTTCTACTTCTTAGTATTCACCCGCTGTAAACTGCAGCGGAAAGTTCTGATTGTTTGTCCATGTTTCATGCTTCTGTTGTTGTTGTGTGTGTTACTGCCTCTTCAAGAAGACAAAGAAAAACACCAGTGTCCTACGTGAGCTGAACATTGAAGAGAATTGGCTCATAGACAGCATCCTGTCCTGAAAGCTGAGATATTTTAGCAGTGTTAAACGTCATGCTGGCCTGGAGAGAACACCAATGGAAAAGGGGGGGGGGGTTGGGGGGAGTAGAGGAAGAGAGACTTTCGGGCTTGCCGTGATGAGAGCGATGTTCTGTAAAAGACTTGCTGAGTGATGATGTTGCCTTTCCAGAACGCTTTAAAAAAAAAATGTATCATCTCCACAATGGAGGTTGGCTGCAGTGGATAACGTTCACTGATGTCTTTGGGAATAATAAGTAGTGAGACCCCAGTCTCTTCCACGGTGTGACTCTTGCACCAACATTCTAGAAACAAGACAGCAGTCTTTTTCAAGTGCTAATGACATTGAAATAAAACTCTTGTTCATATTGTGAAAGTGGATGAACACAGAAGGTTCTAAAAGTACTTTACCGGTCTTTGTTCCGGCTTAGCCAAAGACAGAGAGGAAGGAAGCTTTCGTCCACATCTCATACTTGTGTGACATAGCACCATGACAGAAGCTTAATTGCTACTAATTTTTTAACTTTATATACATGTCTGGAAGCTATGACAGTGCAGTGGCTAGATCAGTCATTTTTAACCATAGGGACACCCCAAACCCTTCCACCCCCACCCCCCAAAGATATCGCAAGATCCCCATCCCCCATTCTCCCCCCCCCCCCCACATTAAAAAAAATGTAATTTAAAAAAAAAAACAGCACATGTTATCCTGTTAATTAGAGTTGTAACGGTAGTTGCACAGATTAATACTTGGCTTTTTATTTTGTTAATAGTTTCAAAAAATATCTCACTCATAATTTTACCGAATAAAAAGTGTTAGTGTAATAGATTATTAGAAGTACAAATGTATTCAGTTTCAAGATTGCTGGACGCCCCTCCCCCCCCTCTTTTGAACCCCCCCCCCCCCCACCTAGATACTTGCCTAACCGCACAAATATCTTGGGTTTGAATCTGAACTACTGTGGATGTCACATAGTTGATCTTGGCTTCTGGGTTGACCAACCGTAACATTGGTACCAGAAATAAACCTGGAAATTAAAGGTGGCCAGTGGGATGTTGACCATATCATCCGTTGAATATCAGTTGAACTTAAACCCCCCCCCCCCCCCCCCCCCCTCATGACTGGTAAAGCCTGAATTCCCAGTTTTCCCACTGATGTGAAAAATGGTATTTAACATTACATTGGCATACCATGTCAAATGTCTGAAAATAGCAATGTCCTCATAGGTGTATTTATGATTTGTTTTGTTTGTTTTCGATCAGAAGGTCGTGGGTTTGCTCTCTGGCGGAGCCTGACTTTAAAAAAAAAATGACCTTGGCTCCCAGGTTGACCCAGCCTTGAGTGGGTACTGGGTGCAGTCCCGGGAATTAAAGGCAGCCGGCGCAATGCTGACCACATCACCTATATTGAGGCGATTGGTCTATGAAATATAGGTCTAGCCCTATATGCCCTATACGCCTAAAGGCGTGGAAAAGGATCCTTTGCTTTACTTACTTTCTTTGTTTGTTTTCCCCTCTTTTGAATGCAGATCACAGCCCAGGGTATGTGACACTGCAGGTGGCACGTGATGGTGTTGTGGTATCAAACTGTGAAATATTTGAGTTCTGTGACAGGGAGAGCCGGGACTCCAGTACGACTCATCCAGAGTGGTTTGCCCTTGATTGTAAGTTCTTAAGATTTGAAAGTTATCAGAAATTGAAAATTGTCAGTGATTGAAAGCTGTTAGTGATTAAAAGTTGTTAGTGTTTGAAAATGATCAGTGATTGAAAGCTGTTAGTGACTGCAAGTTGTCAAATGATTGAAAGTGAGCAGTAATCTAGAGTTGCTAGTGATTGTTAGTTGTCACTGATTGAATGTTCCCTGAAAGTTGTCAAGGGCTGAAAGTTGCCAGTGATTGAAAGTTGCCAGTGATTGAAAGTTGCCAGTGATTGAAAGTCGTGAGTGGTTGAATGTCGAGAAATTGAAAGTTTGCAGTGATTCAAAGTAATTGTTAGTGTTTGAAGTTAACAGAGATTGACAGTGGTCACTGACTGAAAATTGTAAATAAAAAAAAAAAAATAAAAATGATTTATATATTTTTTGTTAATGGCTGTAAGTCCAAGATGTCTGTGTGTGTATATGAGTGTGTGTATATATGTATATATGTATGTGTGTATATATGTATGTGTGTGTACATGCTCACATGTGTGAGCGTGTATATGTGTATGTGAGTGTGTATGTGAGAGAGAGAGTGTGTGAGAGAGAGAGAGGGAGGGAGGGAAGGAGAGGGGGGGAGAGAGAGAGAGAGAGAGAGAGAGAGAGAGAGAGAGAGAGAGAGAGAGAGAGAGAGAGAGAGAGAGAGAGAGAGAGAGAGAGAGAGAGAGAGAGACCTGAAAATAATTTGTACCATTTAGATTTAATCTAGTGAAGGGACTTGCCTCCTGATCCAGCACCAATGTGCTGTATTTATGGGGATCGTGCTGCAAAGCTTTCCTTCCTTTTCCCAAACATAGAAACCAGCAGGGTGTGCATTTGCTTATACCGGTCTCTTGCATCAGCTTCCTCTTCTAGTCCATGAAGTATGGCATTGGTAGTCATGTTTATCCACAGCCTTCTGTCTTGTGTACTTGCTGTCAGTTCTGCCACAGATGATCTTCCATGCCATGATGTAAAACTGTCCTCTTCTCTCCGCCTCTGTTTCCCTCCAAGTGCCCAACCCTCACGTCTCACTCCAGTTTTTCTCCTTCTGATTACATGTCCAAAGAATGTAGATTGTCTCCTTCTGTTGTGGGCAATCAGTTCTCTTTGTGAGTCAGTTTCTTTCAAGACCTCTTTTGTCTGTTCATGGTATTCTGTCATTCATCTGATCAGTCCTCATTGTGCAAGAGGCACATAAGGCAGACATCGTTCATCTACAATCATGTAATTCAGCGAGGGCTAAGCAGGGGGTCTGGAAGATATTCAACACTGAAAACATAGGCTGACTTTTCATCAGGTAGCAGCAAGTGCTGTTAGCATATTGATTCTTGGTTGGCTACTGAAGAGGAAGCACATGAGGGATGTCCTGGGCAGCGATGTCAGTTCTTCATTCATTCATTCATTTGTCTATAAAACCACTTCTCCACCAGTTTTGACATTTTTGTTGTTGCACTAAATGTCCAACTGTCCATGATTCACCTCTGTATATCAGAATAAGATTGATATAGCTCTTGTGAGTTCTCCTTCTCGTCTCGAAAAAAAAAATATGTGTGGTTGTCTCACATCAACACAGAGACATATTAGGGTGTAACCGGGTGATTGTGAGGAGCTGTGCTATTGCTAGATGCTTGCCTACAGCCCTGACAGTCTTGGGTTTATATCCTTTGAGGTGGATTTCTATAGTTAACCTGGATAACAGGGCTGACCTGGGCCCGGAATGTTGTGGGAAGTAAAGGTGTCTGGCGGGATGTCAACCCCCATCACCCATTGAGTGTTGATCGGCATTTTAACAATATCAGTCTAGTATCATTTACCTAGTGCACCACTCTTTTGAAAAGGGTCTTTTACCTTTTTGATTATTGAATTAAGAATCGACCTCACAGCACTCGGGACATTTCCGCAAGCACTCCATCCTCATCTTCAGCAGCAAGCACAGAGTTTTAAAAACAGTTAAATAATTAATTACATTTTGTGTTGTTCTTCTGCCTTCTATCCCCAGTGAGGCATAGGCCTTCAGTCAGCTCACACCAAATCTTTCTATCTTTCACTATTGCATGCAGCTCTTCCTATGTCCTATCTTTTTAACTTCTCTCTCTAGCTAACTTATTTATGGTTTTTGGAACCTCCTTTATTTCTGTGCCCCTGTGGGATTCAGCGCAAAGATATTTTAGTTAAATTGTTTTCAGATTTTTCTAAACCCCTGTCCTATCCAGCTCCAGTGGTTTTTCTTCACCTCTTAGTCCACTGGAACTTGTTTAGTTCTCTCCCAAAGTGCAGTATTTGTAATTCTATCATACCATTTAATCCCCTCTATTCTGCACAGGCAGAATGTTTGCAGTTTATTCGTAAACTGCCTTAGTTGTTCTCCATGTTTCCGCTCCATACAACAGTACTGATTTGACATTAGAATTAAACATTTTAATTTTAGTATTAGTTTTAATTTCTTTTGACCTCCACAAATTTCCTAGTGCTTTGAAAGCTCCTCTTGCTTTTTGTTTTCGTATTTTAATATCTCTAACAGTTCCCCCATCTTTATGTATATTATGGCTAGAATAGGTGTATGACTCCATGTCTTGGAGTGGAATATCATTAAGAGAAACCACATTTACCTGATTTACTCTCATTATCTTTGTCTTTATGGATTTTTAGACCTAGCAGTTGTGATCTTGCATTAGGTATATTCATCTTCCTTCTGATTCCGTGAGTGGGACAGAAGAGGAATATCAGCGAAGTTCAGATCATCTAGCTATTTTGAAGTGGTCCACTGAATTCCATCCTTAGTGTTACACTTGCTATCTATATAATCCAGTCTAGTGCCAGAAGTGAATTCCATTCTTAGTGTTACACTTGCTATGTATATAATCCAGTCTAGTGCCAGTAAAAATCGGAGAGGCGACAGAAGACATCCCTGTCACACATCTGTTCTTATTTCAGATGTCTCATGAAGAACTCAACATTTCATGTGTTTATGTATTGCTTTTGTCAAGTTAATAATTTTCTGAGGGATCCTATAATGTCCCATCAATTTCCAGAGAGATTCCCTATCAGTAATGCTGTCAAAAGCTTTTTCAAAGTCTATGAATACAGTGTATAGTGGCCAGTTTAGTTCACAGCTTTGCTCTATTATCGTGTGTGATGTGGATATCTGGTCAGTACAGGATCTGATTGGCCAAAAACCTGCCTGCCCAAGAGACAAGGAACCGAAAGTCTACATGCAGTTAAGCCAGATCTGTTAAACAGATGCACATGAAAAACTCAGGTCCTTAAACAAAGCCAGAGTCTAGAAATGGACAGACGGCCAGGACTTTTTGCTGGGGTTTACAGTCAGTGAACACAAGCAAGCAAACAAACATACAAACAGCTAAACTAGTGTGACCCTTCCTTAATTTTGTACTACATCTTAATTTATTGAGTGCCAGTTATGTTTGAAAGTGTGAGCCTTATGTTAGATTCCTGTGGTGTCGATGATTTAAAAAGGGTCTTTTACCTTCTTTCATTTTCAAGCCTCAAGCTTGGCATATCCAGATCTGATAAGTTGAACAGATATTGTGTGTTGTTTGTTTGCAGGCAATCAGCTGAAGTTGTTGTTGATAGAGAGATTGGATCACATGAGCCGGCACTTTGTTAATGCCACTCCACCCCTTCAGGTAGGTCATCAGCTTGTCTTGAAAAAAGAATACAGCACTTATCCTGTTTATTCTGTGTAGGAAACTGAGGGTCTGGACAACACTCAGCCTAAAAGGGACAAGTTGTGTTGACACTGAGTCAAGTTGTCACTGACACCATCGGGGTCTGTGGCTTTGTCGTTACGAGTCCGACTCGTAATTCCAACATACTGCAATCGAAACCCACTGCAAGCTGTGTGGATTTTTATCATGGTATTGGGCGTCGCAGGTCAATCCACCCTAAAATGGGTACTAGAATGTATGTTCTGGGGAAGTAAAGACAGCTGGCGTAATGCTGGACAACATTACCCACCTAGTGCTGACCTGTCTGTAAAAATATGGGGTGCTCTTACCATATGCCCGATGCGCCTAAAGGGTTTGAAAAGGGATCTTTACTTACCACTGACACCATCAACTTCATTGGCCACTGAGATGGTGGATAGATAACGATACATGAGAATATCATGAGTAGGTTGATGCCCGTTCATTTGAAGTGGTGTATCAGGCATATGAGGCAGGACTCATATTTTTACTGAACATTTGGCCCTTGATGGGGGATGTGGTCAGCATTACGCTGGCTACCTTTGCTTCCTAGGACTTTATCTGGTACCTCCCTAAGGCTGGTTGACCTGGAAGTCAAGATCATGTATTTAAACAGAAATGCCCAATAATTAATTATTTCATAAATTTGTTTATTTGTGAAATCACTCGTTCATAAATTGATTCATTCATTCCTATTTGGACCCAGCCCATAAACTTTCAAGTAACAAGTGTCTCTTATCTTGGACATTTAGTACCAGAAGTGAAATAAAAATCAGAAAAAGAAAACAGGAATAGCCAAAAATATCTTTAACAAGATGGAGACGTTATTGACATCACAGGGATAAATACTGCTGTATAGTGCAGGGAACCTAGAATGACAACCTCAAGAAGTGGACAGGACTGAATCACCATAGACCTGTTCCACAAGCGGAAGACAGAGAAAGATGGTGGGTTTTGTGTGCTAGTCCTTCATTGATACACATCCATAACCCTAACAGGTCAGGGGTTGTATTATGTACGGTGCAGAAACTGAACAATGAACAACTAGAAAATCAAATTGAGTGTCTGGAGATGTGGATGTGCATTACCCATGAATGCAGATTAGTCTAAAATATATAGGTCTAGCCCTCTGTGCCCAATAGGTCTGAAGGCATGAAAAAGGATCCTTTGCTTTTTATTTTTAGCAGACCATTTTGCACTGATTCTGACGTCACTATGAGCGTTAATAGATTATTGAAAAATTATTGGGAAGCTGAGGAGATTTAGTTGTATAGACAAATGATGAGAATACCCTGGACAGATAAAAAGAGTAATGAAGACGTCCTAAAGGAAACTGATTCCCGAAGAGAACTGATTGCCCAAATCAGAAAAAGACAACCTGCATTTTTATGATCATGTGATGAGAAGGAGAAAACTGGAGTACATCGTGTAGTACTAAAGTTGGCGGGGAGGAGAGGCAGAGGGAGGTCAAGAGAAAAGATGCTGGACAGTTTGACATCATGGCATGGAGGATCATCTGTGACAGAGTTGATTTAAAGTACACGAGACAGAAGGTTGTAAATAGACATGACAAGCAATGCCACATGGCATAAACTTTAAGAAGAAGAAGGAGATGAGCGTTGTAACGGCAGACTAATTTTAAAGGCCATTTTTATCAGGCCTGTGTTAATTGGTTTTATTTTTTAAAGAGTGGTTAATTTTATTCATCAGGGTTCCATCTCTGACGACATGGAAACATTGGAGAGAAATCTTGTGCACCAAGTCCAGACCATGACTGGTCAGCATTGGACAGATTCAAACCTCTACCCTAAAGCTGGACAGCACAACTTAACCCTGCTTCACCTGGCGGCAGCATTGGGCTTTGCCAAGTTAATCTCTTGCTTGATACGCTGGAGGTAAGCTGAGCTGATTATTATTATTCTTAGTCAAGGTTTCAATTTCGTTGTAATCAGGTCACCACATACGTTCTCCATTCCTATGCCAGTGAAGATCAAATCAGATGTCCCTCACTGTGTTATTTAAAAAACTGGTGAACAAGCAATTAGTCCCGGTACAGTCCAGAAAAATGCGCACACAGTTCATGCATACGTCAGTTGCTAGAGGTGCCAAAGCCAACAGTCGCGACCAGAAATGCAATTTGCCATTGATGAAAGTAGTATGTCACAATAAGTTAAATGTACACACACACAATTATTACATATAGTATTTCAACTGCCTACACGTAAACAGGCTATCCGCCAGATTGAATAACATAACTCAACCTATGCACAAATAAAAGGCATGCCACATAAAAAAAAAAAAGCTCACAGTGCTGCACTAAGCACTAAACTCAGTAGCTCGGGCAGCAAAACCATAGACTTCCGTCAATATGTAGAAACTGCACCTGCAAAACGTTGCCAGAAGGAGAAATAATTTTGAAGCTAAATATTCTGCTATGCCTAGTCCTCCATATTGGACCCGAAGCTGATTGTCTCATTTCTGTTTTCTCAAAGCATTTGTCAGTAGGTGTTGTTCACGCAGTTTCTCTGAATATATCATTTCTGACTTGGTCTCATATGATTCTTCTTTTTCTTCTCTGTTCTTCCTTAAGAAGATGGCTGACACATTGGTTTGCGATTTACAGCTAGACTACATTATCTTTGCCTTTTAACTCAATACATCAAGTTTCAGCAGACACTGGATGTCAAAATCAGGTCCAGGTGAAGGCCAAAAGTCCAAGCGGACAATTAACCGGGACCTTCCACTGGAATTCACAGCCGGTGTTCAAGGAAAAAAAATAAAAAAAACTTTTTTGTGACATGTGTGATGGGCGAGGGGAGGAGGGTTTCAGATGGTTAAGATGGTTGTTTTGATTAGGCATCTCATCTCAGAATTGTAGGCGTGGCAAAATTGCAATTTTTCTTTTCATGTCCTAATGGTCTAAGCACCAAGATATTTAGCTAGACATTGCCAAGATAACTGTAACTGTAGTGAGCATAAATAAATTGTGGGAACATAATTGTTGCTGATGCGACAAACATATACCCAGTTGGGTATTTGAATAACGAGCCAGATTTCTATTGTATGATTAGACTAAACACCAGCCACACTATTTGTTGTTTGGTTGCATGGACAATACTCTATCACATGTGACAAGTGAAAGAGTTGACACTGTGACATTTTCCCCACTTTGATCCATAGTAGTACTTGGTTTTGCCACAACTTCTTCTTCTTCAGAATTCTGAGCCCTTGAGGTTCATTGCTGCAGATATCACCCGCCTCCATTCATCTCTCTTGTTGGCTTTCTCCCTCCAGCTAGTGACACCAAGTGTTTGTAGTTGTGTCTGGACATTATCTCTCCAGGCTCTTTTTGGTCTGCCTCGTGGTCTACCACCATTCAGCTCTCTTGTGTATACAGTTTTTACTTCTCTGTCATCTGACATTCTTTCAATATACCCCAACCATTTCAGTCTGTTAGCTTACTTGATGACAGTGATCAATAGTGATTTAAACAGATTATGAATTTTGTTGTCGCTTCTCACTCTCCATTCCCCATTGGTTGCATTTTTGATAGGTCAAAAGATTCGTCGTAAGGATTTGCCATGTTGGATTACCCACCCTGCATGAAATGTGTTCACATATTTAAATAACAGTTTTATTGTGGAGGCTTGGTTATATCTGGTCTTTTGTTTCAGAGTGGACAACAACTGTGTCGCTCTGGAGTTTGAGGTGGATGCACAGAGTGTTGACAGTCATGCCTGCACCCCTTTGGTCAGTATGGGTTGTCATGATGTCTCCTTGTTTCGTTTGTATATTGTTTGATGTTTTCTTCTTCTTCTACTTCTTCACTTCCTCATTTACAACTTCAGATGTCGGCAAGAGACACATCATGATGTTAAAGCGTTTCTCTAATGTCTTTCCATCTTGTTCTTGGTTTTCCTTGTGCTGAACTTCCTTTTCCTCTTTTGGCGTATGCCTTGTATGGTGTGGCATCATAAGGTATTCTCTCCAGGTGCGCGAATCATTTGATTTTACATCTTTGTATGTAATTTATAATTGGTTATGTGCTCACCTTTCTCTTATGACCTCATTTCTGATTTTAACTCATGTCTGCCCTTCACAGACATTTCATGTCCGTAGTCTTTAATTTGAACCATTTGAATTAATTTTTGTCTCTTTTTATTCCTTGGAAATGTGTAATGTGTGCTATTCTTTTGAATCAGTAATATTTCTAGATGTGACTTTGTGCTGTCAGAAGAATTTATACTATTTCCTTTTTTTTTAAATGGGAGCTGCGTAACACAGTGACTTGATACTTACCTTGTCAACCCTAAAGCCTTGGGTCTGAATCCACATTCAATCATCATCAATCAGTTCTCTGCCTAGTGCCATATGAGGCTTCAGAGAGGGCTTCCATGCTTTCCTGTCCTGTGCAATCTTCAGTGCAGTTTTCCATGTCAAAGATGCCGCACTCAGTTCACTTTCCATCGTTCGTCTCCATGTTGTTTTTGGGCACCCCTTCTTTCTCTTTCTCTCTGGTATCCACGTCAGAGCTGTTTTGGCAGGTATATCAGGATTCATTTTCAATCCACATTAAGGCCAACTTTTACAATTGATTTCAGCTCCCAGTCTGATCTCCCAGCTTGTAATGGGTACCAGGAAATTTTTGGGGAAGTAAAAATAGTTGGCTTTAAATTGCCCACCAAGTGCCGATTGGTTTATTTAAAAAAAAAAGTAAGTCTGTGCCATAGACATGAAAAAGAGCCCTTTTCATTTTTTTTACATTTTTTTTAACCTATAACATTTCCTTGGTGTGACATTTCCTTTGTGTAAAATTTTGTGCTTGTGTGCAAATCTGATGTAAACATTTCCAGATGTGGGCTTGTGCACTTGGGAAAATTGATGCAGCATTGACGCTTTACCACTGGAATACATCGCCTCTGAAAATGTGTAACAAAGATGGCCTGCTGCCCTTGACTCTTGCCAGGCAGAAAGGGTTTTACAATCTGGCAAATCAGGTAATTTTGTGCAGTTACCTGGATGTTTTTTGTTTTGTTTTTGCGAATACTTTAGACAGTTGTTTGTAATTTGGTGGTCAGCGGAACCAGTTTTAGGGATCTATCATGGAAGGGATACAGTCACGTGTCCTATTCATGAGATTCTATGTATAAAATCATAGACACACTGAAATAGGTTAAGATCTGAAGGTTGGCTTGGTTGGTCTAGGTTCGACTCCCTTCTGTTTGACATCCTTCAGCTATCTCAGGGATGAGGGATTCAAATTACACTTCCAGGTATTCAATGAGGTTCCTGGCTGTAACTGATCTGACGTCCTCACCACAAAACCCCCAGACTGCTAAGAATATTTGGTAGTCGAATGGTGATACTTCTGTCATCAGGACAGACATGACTACTATACGCTCAACAACGGACTCAACCATTAAAACAATCCATGAGATTAACAAAGAGATCCTTATAACTAGAACAAGGATGTATAATTATTGAATGGGTACTCCTCAGAATGGACTCAAGGAAACATTGTTGAAGGTTGCCACAAGCATTTCCATTATCATGCCCGTTGTATAGAGGATATTGTAACCTGCCACCGTGTTTGCAGAAACCAACATAGTGCTCTATACTTATCTGAGGTGGAGATGATTCTCCCACAGGGTCTTCATGTTGGGTTATCCCGATGTGTCCTTGACCAGAACAGAGGAAAAGTCGTTATATCCTTTTGTGAGACATAGCGAGGTGGTTCTGTGTTCCCGAGTGTGTCGATACACGGATGACCATATCTTTATTTCCTTGAATCTCTGAGTGACGTGGATATATATATATATGGCACAACTTTGAGAATCTCTTGACGATGTGCTGAGGTGTATGATACGTCAGGTAAAGCGAATCTATTCCACCAGACGTCGCACATGACTTGGGTAATAGACATGTAATAGTCGACTCCAGTATAATAATGGACAGAATTAGACAAACAGGAAGACCTGGATAGACTGTTGTAGAAACTGAATATACTGGATACACTGTTGGATGCACCATATTCACTGGATATACCGCTGGATATATGGATGTATACCCCACTGATAAGCCACTGGAAGTTCCACCATATGCAAATCGGATGACAAATTGGATCCTTCAGTACCCTGTAGTAACAACATACATTAGTTCACTGCCAACCCAGTGCCTCGTTACCTATAGTCCTCTGCACCTATTACTAAGGCCAGTGTGGATTGATATAATCCGCACTATTCCACTCAGAAATACTTTAGTTTCTCCCAAAGAAGAACCTAACAGTCGGTGCGAAGTCCTCAGAGGCCCTATATTCTCTATAAGAGAATTACTAATTTGTCTTTTTCTTTGCGTGCCTAATCATGTTCCAATAAATACAAAAACAACAGAAAAAACAGAGAAGACAGAATATTATACCATTTGCAAAATTCCTTAAGACTTTGAGTACAAACAACACTTGAGTAGAACTGCTTAGTAACGCCCAAAGTGATGACGTCAAGCGCATAGCAACACCCCACCTCTGCCGTCCGTTGGCTTCAGCGATTACCCCATTCACTCTCAATTTATATATATATCGGACAAGATAAATAGATTTCAGTTCAACTCAGAAAAGGTTGATCTATTGATCCCAACAAAATTGAATCGCCTAGATAAAGGATAAGAGCAGAAAAGTTCTACCTAAGTAGATTTCAGAGCTCTCCCCAAACTCTCTCACAGACAGGAATGCCATGGACAGACGGTTTGGATCCGATCGCTTCATTCTCACATTTTCTCCAGCGCACATAACAAGTCGTATATAAATATACATATTTATTAATGCAATATACACTCACCCATGACGCCAAATAAGATCATGAAACAGATCTTATATCACGATAACAAGGAACGCTCACACAAAGAACATTGTGGCACTCCGAAAGTCTAGAAGAGAGAGTGACGTCGCTGCATTTAGTGCTAGCCACGATGGTTTTGTGTCGTAGGTTGTCCAAGATGCGGAAAGCCTCATTGAAGTAGGGGCGCTGAGGTTGTTACACGACTGGATCTATGATTTCATTTACATACACACGCATGCGCACAAACTCTCTCTCTCACTCACACTGTCACAATCTCACTCACTCATTCACTCATTCTCACTTACTCCCTCACTTACTCACTCACACTCTCACTCACTCACACTCTCACTCACTCTCTCTCTCACTCACTCTCTCACTCTCTCTCTCTCCCTCCCTCCCTCCCTCTCTCTCTCTCTCTCTCTCTCTCTCTCTCTCTCTCTCTCTCTCTCTCTCTCTCTCTCTCAGAAAGAGAAACCCACTACTTGAGAGTGCAATCTTTTTGTGATTCTAACAAGCTTTTTTCTTTACATTCCCCGGCTGTAAACTCTGATGGAAAGTTTTGTTTATCCTCTTCTGGACTTCCAGAATCTGAGTTTTGCTTGCACATCAATATTACAGATCTGGCTTATTTTCATGACTGTTCTTCCTCTCTGAGGCAGACGCATAGGGAAAAAGGGGGAGGAGGTCTATTCAGTGTGGGTCGTTTCATTTCGTTACCTTCAATGGGACACTGGAAACCCACACAAGTCCTAACATTGATAAATTACAGTGGGTTCTTCATCGTGAGAAGAAGTGGGCAGAGAATCAGCAAACAAGGACTGAAATAGGAAACATGTGTACTGAGGGCAGAGCAGGTTTCACTCTTTAAGTACCAAAAAGCGCACCATGTGTTGTTGAATACTATTAGTGTGTAACAGTCACCATTTTATGTATTTTCTTCTTGTTCACCAGCTGTAACTCCGGCGGAAAGATCTGGGTGTTTGTCCACTTCTGGACTTTAGTCCTGTTCTGGAACCTTAGTGTTGCATCCACATTCATTTTACAAATCTGACTCATGTGTATGCAGACTGTTGGTTCCTTGCCTTTCAGGCAGTTGCGCTCCCACTTCAAAAGACTCTCCCACACAGTCGACTCTTACAACAAGCTGTTGAGTAGACAGTGGGACTTTCTTGTTTTCTCTACAATTGGGTCCTGGAACCCACGCAAGGATGTTATGTATCTTATATTTAGTGCGGGGGTTGTTCGAACGTTTTACGCCCCAAACACACCGTGATTCTCGGTTCATTCCTGCTTAGGGACCTTCCACACGCGCTAGTGTATAAGTTACATTGATAATTAAATGGTATGATAGAATCAGTAACGTGAAGCTTTGGTAAAAAACTAAACATATTCCACTCATTCTTCTTCTTCTTTTACGTTCATCCGAAAATGTAATTGCGTTGTGTCTGTTTACAGCATGGCTGCGATATTTGCACCAACATTTCCGACTTCTGCGGGCATTTGTTGACTGGTTAGCCTTCCCGGTTTCCACTGATTCAAGAGGCCAGGAAAAGATGCTGTCATTGGATAGAGCACACAATGAAAAAAAAAGCTGATTACAGTGTAACAAGAACGTCCTTGCACTGAAACCACAGAGAAAAGTGATAGAGAAAGACATAAAACACACAGAGAAGAAATTAAGAGTAGGCAGTGAACACCATGGGAAGGACATGGAGTAAGCTGCACACAATAGCAAAAAGAAAGGACAACTTGACACTGGGTGCCTTTGCTCCAATAGAGGACAAATAGCAGAAGAAGGAGCACAGCTGCTGTGCACTCACCGAAAAATCTGCTGTTGTTATGGCTTTATTTACCCATTTTTAGGGGTCTTGACCCTGGGAGTTTATGGCCAGATGGCTAACGCCATGGGCTGAGCAGGTTAGGATTTTATTTTTGGCCCTGACAGAAAAAAAAATCTGTTACCTTACTGGGAGTTTAAATCTGGGTCTCCCCAGATTTGACCCTGGGAATTTATGGCCAGATGGCTAACGCCATGGGCTGAGCAGGTTAGGATTTTATTTTTGGCCCTGATAGAAAAAAATTTGTTACCTTACCGGGAGTTCAAATCTGGGTCTCCCCAGATTTGACCCTGGGAGTTTATGGCCAGACGGTTAACGCCATGGGCTGAGCAGGTTAGGATTTTATTTTTGGCCCTGACAGAAAAAAATGTGTTACCTTACCAGGGGTTCAAATCTGGGTCTCCCAGACGAGACCCTAAAATTCTTAAATATTTAACCAGCCACTCCTTGTACAAAAACTAGGTTTTTATGTGTGTGTTTGAATCTAATTATGTCTGTGATTCTCTACTGATAGGTAGAGCAGTTGGAAAGAGCCAAGGAGCAGCAGCAACAGCAGCAGCTCCAGAATCGTGCCAAGGAACAATCAGCTGTCCATAGAATGGAGGTCAGCCACACACAGCTAAACTGTAATAGTGTCCACTCCTACAGTCAAGCCGGTGAACTGGCCACTGGGTCTGGTTCAGACCACGAGAAGGAAGACTCTGAATTGAAGGATAGTTTGATAGATATCAGACCCGTGCCGTCCCCTGCCTTCTCGAAGCCAGGAAAGATAGTTTCCAAATTGGTACGCAGATATAGTGAGCAGGTATGTTTGTGGTGTCTGCTGGCAGGCAAATCAAGTTATCGACTCTTTTTCCCTCCTCTTTCTATCCTTTATTTTTATGCCCTCATTCTATTCTTCTGTTTCACCTATTTTTCTTCATCTTCTTTTCGTGCTTCTCTTCCATGTCATTCTAACATTTTAAAAATTTCTTCTTCATGTCTCTTCCTCTTCCTTCGCTTTACCACTTTTTCCACCTTCCTCCTCCTGAATGATATGAACTTAATTAATGGCTCTTGAGAAGATAGGTTCCTGTATCAGCAGCATGTTTAACACAGTAATTTATTGTTTTCTTTCATTGGCTTCTGGTGAAGGGGAGAGCTGGGTGATTCATGATCCCATGAGTCTAATTCTTCTCTGCCCTTTTGATCTTTCCATACACTTATATATATATATTTTAATTTAAAAGTGTTAGCAAACTACACATTTTAATAAACTTGTATTTGAACAAACACTTATATTTGATTTGAACAGTCACATTTGATTAGCTATATTACAACAAATAAGCAGATCTGAATTTCCATATTTGAACAAACAGACAACCATTTTTGAACAGCCATATGTAAACAAGTAGCTATGTTAGTAAATGTAATATTCTTTATCTGAGATATACTGTATTTCCATAGCTCAAAAGAAAACTATAAACTGTAAATAATTGTCTAGATTGATTAATAAACAAATGTGACTATGAATCATTGGATTTCCTATTCAGGTCATCGGACATCAAAGCCGACCTTTGAGCAAAAGAAACTCAGTTGACCTGCTGCCTAGTGGTCAAGACACTGACCAGGCTGTCCTCCCCAGTATGGGCTCCCCCATGAACTCTCCCATCCAGGATGCCAACTCAGAGCCAAGGCTGCCTGTCAGCCCAGACATGGCATTTGTGGCCCCGCCTGCTCCCCGCCTTCCACTTGAGGATGAGATTGATGAGCCGTCTGTGTATACAGGAGAGCCCTCCATCTCCAAGATGGATACTGGTAAGAGAAGTGTCATCTTGAAGTTTGGTAATTGTTTTTCATCATCACTGTGTGCTATCTCCACATTGTAGGTTGGTGGTAATGAATCTGAGTCCAGAACCTTTATTGCACATTCTGCTATGTTGGCCTTATCTTGATGCCTGTCCAATTAGGTCTTTAATGTCCTCATTATTCAAAATGGTTACTGGTGAAAGAAATGTCTTCTTGAAGTTTGCTTATTGTTTTGCTCCATCACCGTGTGCCATCTCCTCATTGTAGGTTGGTGGTAATGAATCTCAGTCCAGAATCTTCATTGAACATTCTGCTAAGCTGACCATTTAGAACTTTTACTCTTTCAGTCCCAGGTTTCGCAAGAACAAGACTCAAAGGTAACAATAACCTTTATGAAACAAAATTAGTTTATTGCTTTTAAAGTGGCAACATTTGATATATTGCAAATATAAATATTTAGCCAGTTGTTTTTTTGTGTATAGAGGCCAAAATTAAATGAAATAGTTATGCACTCTCTGATGACAATAGATAATCACACATGATGCATTTTTTTAAAGACAAAAAGAGTTCATTTCCTAATTATCCAGGAAGGATGCTGGTAAGAGAAATGTCATCTGATAGTTTCGTGCATTGTGACAGCAGGAAAGTTGGAGGGGAAGAGAGGCAAAGGGAGACTGGTAGAGAAGATGCTGGGCAGTTTGACATTATGGCATCTGTGTCAGAGCTGATTGAAAGTTCACAACACGGAAGGTTGTGGGTGAACATGACTACCAACACCACTCTGCATGGACTTTCAGAAGAAGAAGTTTGGTAATTGTTTGACATCATCACCAGCTGCCATCTCCACATGGTAGGTTGGTGGTAATGGGTGAACAGTCTCTGTCCAGAGCCTCCATTGACCATTCTGTAAAGCTTGATGTTGTCTATTCATTTATGTCTTTTTGGGTTATCTTTTGTGAGTTGGGTTATCCTCATGACACTTAGAATGGTGCTTATGTGCTCCCTCAACATATATTTACATCAGCATCCCATTGTTTTGGGGTATATTGAAAGAATGTCATGGGAAAGAGAAGTAAAAACTGTATACACCAGGAAGATGAATGGTCGTAGACCACGAGGCAGACCAAGAAGACAATGGGGAGATAATATCCAGACAGACCTGAAACACTTGGTGTGACTAACTAGAAAGAGAGGGCCAACCAGAGAGATGAGTAGAGGTGGGTGATATCTGCAGCAGTGAACCTCAAGAGCTCGGAACAATGAAGAAGGCCAACCAGAGAGATGAATGGCGGCGGGTGATATCTGCAGCAATGAACCTCAAGAGCTCAGAACAAGAAGGCCAACCAGAGAGATGAATGGAGGCGGGTGATATCTGCAGCAATGAACCTCAAGAGCTCGGAACAATGAAGAAGGCCAACCAGAGAGATGAATGGAGGCGGGTGATATCTGCAGCAGTGAACCTCAAGAGCTCGGAACAATGAAGAAGGCCAACCAGAGAGATGAATGGAGGCGGGTGATATAGCAGCAATGAACCTCAAGAAGAAGCATCCCATTGTTAATGGTGCCAGTTCTGTGCTATATGATCAACTTCTCATGTCTGCTGTGCCTCCCATGTCTGGCTGAGGCAATTTTGACACACAGTTCTCACATTCTTAGCAGCGATGCGGACGCACTGCCCACGAAACCTCATATAGTACTCTCTCTCTCTTTCTCCAACTATCTTTTTTTTTTAAAGGCTAGCTTTTATGTTTGTTAACTATATGTGCTAGTTAAGTGTCTTTGTTTGTTAGCTGTTTTTGTTTGTTAACTATCTATGTTGCTAACTACTCATGTTTGTTACCTGCCTCTGTTTGCTAGCCAAATATGCCAGTTAGCCGCCTTTGTTTGTTAGCTATTTATGTTTGTTAGCTACTTGTGTTGGCTAACTACTCTTGTTTGTTACCCGTCTCTGTTTGCTAACTATAAATGCTAGGTGTTTGTTTGCTTTTTATGTTTGTTAACTACCTGTGTTGGCTAACTACTCATGTTTGTTACTCGTCTCTGTTTGCTAACTATAAATGCTAGTTGTTTGTTTGCTAACTATATATGCTAGTTGTTTGTTTGCTAACTATATATGTTTGTTAACTACCTATGTTGGCTGACTACTCATGTTTGTTACCCGTCTCTGTTTGCTAACTATAAATGCTAGTTGTTTGTTTGCTAGCTTTTTATGTTTGTTTGCTAGCTTTTTATGTTTGTTAACTACTTATGTTGGCTAACTACTCATGTTTGATACCTGTCTCTGCTTACTAACTATATTTGTTAGGTGTTTGTTTGCCAACTTTTTATGTTTGTTAACTACCTATGTTGGCCAAGTAAATATGTTTGTTAAATACAAGTTATTCCTAATTATAAATGTTAGTTTACTTTTTTTTGGGTATGCTGTCAGTTTATGTTTCATATCTGCTTACAGATGAGGTTGTTACCGTACACAGCCCTCTCATTGATGTGGAAAGAATCTCATCTGATGAAGAAGTGGATGCGAACAAAGGTGCTGTCAATATCACTTACAGTTGCAGATGTAACACAGCGTCTGTGGCTTAAGCATTGCGAGCGACCTTCATAATGCAAGGGTGGTGGGTTCGATCTCAGCTGCTGGCAATTTTTAGCCTTGAGTTGGTTTTCCCTATAGTATCGAGAGCCGACCATTAAGAAAGAAATGGCAAACTACTGAACATAAAATTTGCAGAGAAAAACCATACACAGCCAAAAAATGCTGGGGTTGGTTGTGTCGTGTCCTGTAAAGGATACGCAACTAACTAATGCTTTACCTTTGCTGTGTGGGTTTTGGAAGGTTAAAAAAAATAAATATGCTGCATCATTAAAGATAAGAAGGGGTTTGCTGAAATCAGATGTGTTGGGCCGAATGGTGAAATTATTCTAACCTAGCTGTAAACCACAACACAATTTGCCAACCATCATTTTAAGGGTAAATGCAGAAGAAGAAAATAAAGAAGTATGCTGTGCCTGGGCAGCCATGGTGGTGCCGCGGCCAGCACATTTAGATGTGGCCAAGTCGTCATGGGTTCACAGTGGAGTGAATGAAGATTCTTGACAAATTGACCTGGGTTTCTGGGTTGACCTTGCATAAATTGTGTATAAGGTGTTTGAAGGTAGAATGAATGTTGAATCAACATCACAGGACTTGGGAAACTTCCAAAAAGCGCTCCATCCCCATCTACAGCAGCCAGCAAAGAGTTCCAGTTCTAATGGTACCAGTAACTGTCTGTACATCTGCCTCACCTTTCCCTTGAGTGTTGAGCATTGGCCAGATCTCCTGGTAACTCCCCACATGGCCATTCTCCTAATGATCTGTTTGTGACTCCTCACTGTTCACTTGCTCCCAAAGTGCCCTCACAACATCTAGCATGTCATGCATAATTTCACCACCAAGTGGGGCAGAACTGGCGTCTGTCTTTCTGCTCATTTCAGAACACACCAGCTTGATCTGGAGAAAATATCCAAAGGATGCTAACTACCCTGGACCGCTGAAGCAATGCTCACCACTCTGCAGGGAGCATGCCTGTCTCCACCTTTCTCAACATACTCTGAGAGTCATTTGCAATTAGGACATGTGTGTAGAGCTGATTCTCAGTCCAGCAGAAGGCAGCAGTGACCACCTCCACCTCCATTCTCAAACTAGACGTGATATCCTATGCTAGGCTAAGCATCATCCATTTGCTTTTGCTGTTAATCTCCATGCCTCTTGAAAGTAAAGGTGGCTAACATGCTGTTTACTACATCACCAAATGAGTGCTGACTGTTCTGTGAAAATGTGAGGCCAACACCAAATGCTTATAGAACTCAAGGAGGGGAAATGGGTCTTTAGTTTTTACTAACAGTATATCTGATAGAGAAACGTGAATGCAGACTGCAAACTGTAGCTAACAGTTGCACAGGATAGAAAAGAAAGAAGGGACAGGGTTACGAGTACTAGCCTTAGAGAAGATATAAACCCGAACGAAAAGTATATTAGCAAGCTTCACAATATAACAAATACAAACAAAACGTGAACGTTGCGGCTATTGAGCCTTCATCAGCACATACAAATTAAACAATACTAAGTAGATACACAAAATCACTTAGCTGGTATCTTGATGCGATCTTAGAGAGAAGGTTGGAATAAGACCATATCTGGATTATGGTTAGTTGCATATCCTTTACAGGACGTTGCAGAACCATCACCAACATTTGGTTGTTGTGGTTTTTCTAGGCAAATTTTACATTCAGTAGTTTGCCATTGCTTCTGAACGGTCAGCTGTCGGTACCACTGTCAAAACCAATGCAAGACAAATCGTCTGCAACTGGGATTAAACCCGGTCTGAATTAAATTAACAGATATAAAATGAAATGATTGCACCATCTAGTGAGAATGCTGTCAGACCAAACTGCATATGAGACTTTTTTTTACCACATAACATCTGGAAGGAAGGCGAGGGGAAGACCAAGAAAGAAAGGGATAAATGGTGTAACAGAAACCTGCAAAAGAATGAATAAATCTGCCACCCAAGCCAACCGAGAAGAGCAAGATAAATGAAAAAAACCACAACACTGGGCTATATATAACCTTTGTGGTATCGCAGAGACGACAAATCAAGAAAAAGAACAGAATAGAAAATAAATTGCTAGCCCTCTGTGACATAGGATGACAATGATGATGATAATGTTGATATAAAATGATGATGATGATGATTATTCTGTTACACACAATGTCACCTGTATCGAGGTACCTGTTTACTGGCTTCAGACATGTATTTAGTGTTGGGAAATATTTGATCTGATTTTTCAGATGTTCACACTAACACCCGACATTTAGGGTAGTTAAGAATGCTAGATTCTCATGCTGGAGAGCCAGGTTTGAACCCTTTATAGGGTTAATGGGTTTTCTGCCGAAGTGAAAAAAAATAATCCTAATCTGCACAGTCTGTGGTGCTTGGATGCTCTAAATCCTCAGGCTCAAACTCTCCCTCCCCCCCCCCCCCCCTTCCGACCCCTCCACACACACACACACACTGAAAAATGTGTTCAATACCTGTAGTGATAGCAGTGGCACTTTAAACACAACACAACAGCATAATTTTATTTCGTTAGCAGATGGAAACAAGCACCAGATGGTGACGTTAGCCAATCAGATCATAGCTGCTATTCCAGAGCGGATCAAGCTGTCACCTTCTAAAGCAGACGAAGTGGACGATGCGTCCAGTAGCCGGGGTAGAAGTGAATCGCACAGTTCTCTGCCATCGCAGGGCTCACCACGACCTTCGTCATTTGGAGATGATTCGGGGATTTCCACACCAATGACAGACAGTCTGGCATTCGAGGAGTATAGGTAAGCAAGTACATTGATGACAAATACGTGTGTTTGTGTGTGTATGTTTTTATTAAGGTAATTTAGCAATTAAAGAATATAGGTAAGCTGGTGCTGTAGAATCAGAAGTTCAACAAATGATTCATGACAATTCCGGCCCAAGTGATGTGATTGTGTATACAGATGGCTCTGTGTTAAGGGGCAGACAAAGTGTATAGGTGTTCATAGCGAAGGCGAATGGACGTCGCTTGGTGCAGCAAAGCCTGGCATATGATATCACAACGTCTAGTTTGAGAATGGAGGTGGAGGCAGTCACTGCTGCCTTCCGTTGGCTTAAGAATCAGCTGTACACACATGTTGTCATTGTAACTGACTCACAGAGCATGCTGAGAAAGGTGGAAACAGGCATGCTCCGTGCAGAGTGGCAAGTATCACTTCAGAGGACCCGGGTAGTTAGCATCCTTTGGATATTTTCTCCGGTGTGTTGGGAAATGAGAAGGTGGATAGACTGGCTGGTTCTGCACCACTTGGTGGTGAACTGATATATGACAAACTGGATGTTGTGAGGGCCCTTTGGGAGCGAGTGAACAGTGCCGAGGAACAGATAGATCATTACGGTCTGAGGAGAATGGCACTGAAAGGAGTTACAAGGGGATCTGGCCGACGCTCGACACTCGGAGGAGGGGGGAGATGGGTATACAATCAGACTGTTACTTTTACCATAGGAATTTGAACTCTTCGCTTGCTGCTCAAGATGGGGACGGAGCGCTTATTGGAGTGTCTTGAGTGCTGTGATGTCGATTCTTAATTCAACATTCAACATTCAGGTAAGTAAGTACATTGATGACAGATACATGTCTTTGTGTGTGTATGTTTTTATTAAGGTTATCTTGTATTTAAAGAATATAGGTAAGTACATTGATGACAGATAGATGTGTGTGTGTGTATGTTTTTATTAAAATAATCTGGCATTACATTGATGACAGATAGATGTGTGTGTATGTTTTTATTAAAAAAATCTGGCATTTAAAAGTATATGGGAGTAAGTACATTGATGGCAGAAAGATGTCGTGTGTGTATGTGTGTTTTTTTAAGATAATCTGGCATTTTAGGAGTTTTGATAAGCACATATGTAGATGGCAAATAGATATGTGTGTTTGTATTGTTTTATTGAGATTTTCTGGCATTTAAGGAGTACAGGTATGTACATTGGTGACAGATATATGTGTATGTTTTGTATCAATATAATCTGGCATTTAAGAATATAGGTAAGTAAGTACATTGGTCGCAGAAAGATGTGTGTGTGTGTGCATGTTTTTATTAAGATAATCTGGCATTTGAGAAGTTAAGATAAGAACATACATAGATGGCGGAAAGATTTGTGTGTGTGTGTGTTTGTTTTTATTAGGATAATCTGGCATTTGAGTAGTTCAGCAGAGCACATACATAAATGGCAGAAAGATGTGTGTGTATGTATATGTTTTTATGAAGATAACCTTACATTTGAGGAGTTTTGGTAAGCAAGTACATAGATAGCGGAATGGGCCTACTAACCACTGCTGTATCATACAGGTACCCAGAGTTTGGAACCCCAGCCTCCAGCCTTAGCCCTGACTCCACCTGTCTGCCCAGCCCCTACAGTCCTTACAGCTTCACCCTAGACTCCCCACCTCCAACCACAGCCGAGTTTACAGAGTACTTCAATGCCCCTACTACTTACATGGAGAAAGACTTCTCACAGTTGACTTTATCAGGTAAACGATCTGTTGACTTTGTCAGGTAAACTATCTTTCATATGTTCGTAATGTGTCATGTCATGTGACAGGCATCTGACTTTGTCAGGTAAACTATATGTGATATGTCAGTCAAGTGTTGTTTCATGTGACAGGCATCTGACTTTGTCAGGTAAATTATCTGTCATATGTCCGTCATGTGTTGTGTCATGTGGCGACAGCTGAACTTGTCAGGTAACTGTCAGTCAAATGTCAGTTATTTTATATGATAGGCAGCTGACTTTGTCAGATAAACTATTTGTCATATGTCAGGCCTGTCTTGTGTCATATGTCAAGCAGCTGACTTTGTCATTTAACTGTCTGTCAAATATCAGTTATTTCATATGACAGGATGCTGACTTTGTCAGATAAACTGTCATATGTCAGATGTATGTGTTGTCATGTGATACGCAGCTGACTTAACCTAGTAACTGTCATATGACAGTGATGTCAGGTGACAAAAGCTGGCTTTGTCAGGTAAACTATCTGTCATATGTCAGTTATATTTAATATGAGGTGACAGTCAGATATCTGGCGTATGTTGTTTGCCATGTCAAGCAACATGCGTCATGTAGTTTTTGTTTCACCATAGATTTCACTTTGCTTCTGTGTCTGTTTCATGTTATTCATCATAGATGTCAGTTTTTCTATGTCTGTTTTATGTATTTTGACATATTTAAGGTTCTTTTGGGGTCTGTTTTATGTTAATCAGCATAGATCTCAGATTGTATAGGTTGTATGTATGTTGCATGCTTTATTACAGATCTATATACAGTTAGTAATATTTCTTCAAAGATCAGTGAAAACTTTTAGTTGTCTAAATATAGATTTCTTGTAAATTCTTTTGCATATTTTAAGTTATTTCATTTCACATGTAATAGATGTATTTTGTGTTAAGTAAATGTGACTGTAATCATAGTTTGGCTCTGGCAGAGGAAAGTTCATTTAGTCATAAGTCAATTCCTGATACATTTCATGGTATCCAAAGAGTTAACTTCATGTTGCTCCATTCTGTTTTTAAAGCATGTTTAATCCAGATCTACGCAGACATGTTCTGTGTTGTCTGATTTCTAACCTCATGTTTAATTGCAGATCAAGAACAAAGAAAACTGTACGAGGCTGCCAAGGTAATACAGAATGCCTACAGACACTACAGGGATAAGCAACAGCAGCAGCAGCAACTGCAGCAGCAGAAAGAGATTGAGGCTGCCATTCTCATACAGAGCTACTATCGCAGATATAAAACGGTACTTACCACCTTTTATTTAAAGAATCGTCATCCCCTTGTGGGTTGCAGTTTTTAGTAATTTTGAAGCCCCACCCTGGTTTTTGCCGGGGGCCCTAATTATAGCCAGGCCTTAAGTATAGCCTGACCGCTAAATGGGGTTTCCGGGACCTCACCACGGGTGATCCTCATCCGCATCCTGGGTGTTTGTCGCTTGTGTGATGTCCTGATGGAGTACAACTTACCTACCTACCTACCTTTTTTTCTCCTCCTCCTTTTCCTCCACCTCTGTCCTGTTCTTCTTCTTCTTCTCCACCATCTTTCTGTTCTTCCGCCTCCTCCTTTCTCTTCTTCCTCCTTCTCAACCTCCTCTTGCAATTTATTGCTGCAGATATCACCTGCCTCCATTTCATTTCTGTGTTCAGTCTTATCTTTTTATTAGGTGACTAAAAGTGCTTGTAGGTCTGCTTGTATGTTATCTCTCCATTGTCTTCTTGGTCTGCCTCATAGTCAGCTCTCATTCAACTATTTTTTGTAGACAGTTTTTGTCTCAGTATTATCTATCACCCTTTCTACATACCCTAAACATTGCCATCTTTTAGCCCCCATGATGTCAGTAATTAGTGATTTCAGTAGATTATGAATTTCATTGTTGCTTCACACTCAATCCTTCATTGTGTGCATCTGTTATTCAGTACGCTTACTACAAGAAAATGAGTCACGCTGCAGTGCTGATCCAGAATCAGTTTAGGACCTACTACGCGAAACGCAAGAAGCGAGGGGACACTGGAGCAGCTGCTAGACGAGAGCTGGAGCGGCTGAAAAAGGGGCGCAATCAGTCTGTTATTATTCAGCAGCGGTTCAGGTAGATATAATTGTTTTCTTTGTATTGTTTGTTTTAAGGTCATGGTGGAGAATCAGTATTACTGCACTTGGGGCAAGCTCCTATGTGTTCAGTCTCTAATAAAAGTAGTTAAAAAGGGGATGGGCTGAAGTATGGGAGCTGATGGAGTGTTTATTTTATTTGTTTAGTTGACTGTTAGAAGAAAGAGGATATGAAGTTAAAATTTAGTCTTTATGTAGCTGATTAATTTTGTTTATTTGGAATAAAAAATATGTAGGAATTTAATTGTTGTAGTTGATTTTCTAAAAGGCGAAAATTGAGTTTTCTTACTTATTTAGCTAATTTTCTAGAAGCATAAGAAGGAGAACATAGTTTAACCCTTTCCCTGCTATGGACGTCTTTTCCCGATTTCCCATACGCTGCTACGCCCGTCTTTGGACGTTATTTTTTTTCTTGACCCCCAGTGCTATGGACGTCCCAAGCCGTTTTGGGACTTTTCTTACAGATTTCTGTTACCTCGTATTTTATTGGCTGAGGGGCAATATACATTAGCTATATTAAGATTAAACTGACCCATTTACATATGATTAAAAGCACTGGCACGTGCTTTTAGGTGTGTTTAAGGTGTGTTTACTGCATTCTGCGTCATCCCGTTGCTTTGATACCGTGACAGCGTGGTCGGTGATCTGTGTATTTTGTGCCCTGATATATATTTGTGCTTGTGGATTATTCTACACTTAGTACAAAATGGCAAGAAAACTTGTTAAAGTTGATGAAGAATTGATGGAGTTTCTGTCAAGAAGTGATAGCAAAGATGACTTTGAAATGTGTACTTCTGACAGTGAACAAAAAGATTTTACTAGGCTATCAATATCGACGGCTGAAACCGTCGCGTCCAAGAAAAAGCTGTTTGCCTGTCCGACGTCCTCATCATCGGAATCAGAGAGCAGCGACATTGAAGCGCCATCAAAAATGCAATAAATTGATCACTTGTCTTGGTCAACCGATGATTTGATACCAGCAGTGCATAATTTTGATGACTCCAGCTTTGGCTGTATTTCAGCTACCGTAAATTCAGACAGTTCAGTCACTATAAATTCTCGTCTTTCCCGATGGACAGACACAGATTCGGACCAATTTTTTTTTTTTTTTTTTTTGCTGTCTGCTAATGCTTAGAACAAAGAAACTCAAAATAGAGTACTTGAGCAAAGACTGTTTGCTAAAAACTCCCGTGAAATAATGTTGAGGGAAATATTTTTTTACTTTTGTTGAGAATCTCAAACATTTCTCAGACAACAGTGCTCATGTGCAGGCGTCGATAGGTTACAAAATTAGACACATTATTGATAGTCTGCGCACATTATTTATTATTATCATTCACACAGCACAATGTGTCAAGCGGTAGCATAGTGTAGTTGGTATCACGTTCGCCTTAGAATCGGTGGGTCGTGTGTTCAAACCCCAAAGTAAATTTTTTTTTGTTTTGTTTAATTATTGTAAATTTTCCTTTCAGTTCCTGCTACTTTTCAGCAACGAATGACTCAAGAATTATTATTATTATTATTTATTATTTTGGTATGTAATAACATGGTGACTACAAATAACTATGATTAAAGTGGCAGCCGTGGTAGGTTTGTCAATCAAATTTTGGGATACGGACGATAGCTCCATTAGTCAAGTTTGTGGGGCACCATCGTGCCTCTGACCTATCAGCACTCGGACCAACCACACAACTCCCCAAGGTAAAATTTTTTAGGTCTACAAAATATAGCCCTCACCGCCGACGCATCTTTTGTGTTTGGAGGATAGAAAAGTATTGCGCACAGCAGAGACTTTTTTTTTCACATTGCTTAGCACAGGGCAGACAACTATTTCTGGGAACGTAGCAGCGAAAGGGTTAAAAAAAAAATTATTTGATGATTTCATTTCTAATAGAAGGAGAAGATAAGAGTTTTCTAATTTGTTTGGCTGACTTTTTAGAGGAAGAAAGAAGTTTCATATATGCTTAGGTGACTATTTCTTTTTTCTGCAGATCTCACTATCAGAGAAGGTCACTGGATGGAAAAGAAGATGGGGTACATGTTCAGGGCTCAAGTGGAGCTGCCGACAGGTAGGACTTGTGCCCGGAGCAGTCTTCTTCTTATCTTCTTCTTCTGCATGCACCCTCAAAAGGGTGGTTGGTACACTGTATTGTGGTTTACAGCTAGGCTGCAATATGTGCACCTTTTGGCCCGAAATATAACATTTCTTCTTCAAAATTGTCCATGCCTTGTGGCTTTGGTAATTGCGTCTATCTATAGGGTTCCGTCATGTGTACTTTTAATCATTGCTGGCACAGATGATCTTCCAGGTCATGAAGTCAGACTGTCCAGCATCTTCTCTCTGTCTCTTTCTGCTTGTTTTCCCCTCTAGCTTTCCCACCATCATAGTGTACTTGTTTTCTCCTTTTCTTTACATGACGAAACAGTATCCTTATGATGTGGGCAGTCCGTTCTCTTTGCGAATTAGTTTCTTTCAAAACATCTTCATTTTTCTGTTTTGCTGTCCAGGTTAGATGTCAGCAAACTCTTAATCAATTGAAAACAATGTTTTTCCATTGTAAATTTAAATAATGTGGGCACAAACAATACTTGCACAATTTATTGCCTGGTATATTTCGTGAAATCTCGTCAGGTGCTTTACTACAGAGTTAAATCAGCATATAATGATGCACAAAATGAATCCTTTTCTTGTTGAAATTCGAACGGAGAGACAGTTTGAAACTAGAGTGGCAGAACACATCCCTAAATGGTTCCGCACACAACTGAGCGGAGATTCTGCATCAAGATCAGCCTAAAAGAGAGAACCTAATTCTTCGATAGGACATCGTTTGCTTCACTCTGGACGATTGCTAAAAGTGATCGAGGCTGTATTAATAAAAGTGTACTCTTCTTTTGTGTTATGTAAACTGAAAGATCACATGATCAATCTAAAGCTACCATGGTAATCATGTGACTGATTTTGAATTTCCTAATTAGTTGCCTTTTACAACTTGCTTGTTTGCATTGATCATTATGTCTATCCACAGCCTCCTGTCTCGTGTCCTACATATAATTTATGATATAGATATTCATCCATGCCACGAAGCCAAACAGTCCAGCTTCCTCTCTTGTGATCTCCTCTGCCTTTTGTCTTTTTCCCTCTAGACCGTATTTACCTTTCAGCATAAAGTTTTGAAGAGCCTTGGAATGTGTTGCATAGTTGCTTGTATTCACAGCCTCAGATATTATTTTTTAAATTTTATTTTGCCACTGCAGCTTCTTCTATCATTTTTTCTTCTTTTCTTCCTCCTCCTCCTTATTCTTCTTCTTTGTGGTTGTCATCGTCTTTGTTTACCCATAAATGGGTAGTTTGGTCAGTTGGATTTACTGTAAGGTTGTGATATCTGTGCCTTGTGGGCATACAAAAAAAAAAATCAAGTTCCAGCAAGGACATGCTTGTTATGAGGGCATGGTCAATACCCCCCTCCCCCAGAATCCACTCAGGTAGTAACTAATTTTTCTGTAGGATGAGATTGCCAGTCTTGGGCCAACCTTCCTTAGTCATATCTTGTGACATGCATGGTAGATGAAAGTGGTAACATATTTTTGGCTCAATTTAAGGGCTGTGGTAACACAGAAGTAGAAATGCATGGTACTAATATTGTTAAAGTATTTCATTATGTTTGGGTTCTCAATTTGCTTAGGGCTTCACCTGAGTGGGTGATATATTGCTGATTTTCGGCTTTTCCCCCCTGCATATCCCCTACCTCCTATTACCTTTGAAATGTAAGTCTAGTTTTTTGGTTTGTTAACTAACAGCAATGATAGTTTGGTTTTAAGTGTGTTTTAAAAAAAATGAGTACGAACAAGTTTAACAATATAATATTCTGACCAACATAAGGAAGAATGACAACTAGCATGAAGTGATTTGCTAAGTATTTAGTGATTTAAAATAAAAATTATTTTTTAACAGAATAGGGGGAGTAATTAGGCCAGCATAATAATAATTTACCTAATTGTGAAAGAGCTTTAAACAAAAAAATTAAACATTTTGCAAGAAAAGAGTTATACAACTGTTATTTTTTCCAACAAGGGAAGCTAACTTACCAACTTCCAAGTCATTTGTTCGTTACAAAAAATTAGAATCAGCTCAACATGACACACCCACATTGGGCAGCAGGTTATTTTGGAACTCTACGGTCCCCTAATATAACTATGTTATACTTTTATACAAGGTTTCTGGAATCAGGTAATCGCAGTTCCAGCTTCATAGCAAATGGGTCACCCCATAATTGCTCCTTTCTTGTGCCAAGAAAAACCACACAGAGTCTCTGCCACTGTCCCTTGCAGAAGAAATCGACACAGACTGCAAACTCAGCGTAGCCAATAGACACACTCATTAAATGCATATTGCAGCCATTAGAAGTGTCCACACAAACAGGCCGACACTAGAAATGCAGTTCACCATAGATGCAAGCTGTGGTTCTAATAAATTAGTAGTTGTACACACATTTAATTGCATAAGACATCACCAATTCACTGGTATTGGGCAATTCACCATCTTCTGAATGTACAGTTCATAACACAGACCACATTGGGCACAGTTAAAAACAAAAAAAAAAACGCATTCTGGAATGTGCTTCTGTTTGATTCCATCTCAGTAGTGGCTTCTTGAGTCACTGGATGGTTATCTTTTAGACTGTTATCCTGAAGAAAAAGAAATAAAACAAATGGGGGTGGAAAGGGGAGGAGGGGGGGGGGGTGAAAACCGGAATGGCACCAGAAACTTGGCATTTCTTGCTTTACTTTGCACGCCTGCTGTACCAACTCATTTGGCTCACTGGGTGGTTATCTTTTAGACTGTAATCCTAAAGAAAAAGAATAAAAACAGAAGGGGAGGGGGGTTGAAAACAGGAATGGCATCAGAAACTTGGCATTTCTTGCTTTACTTTGCACGCCTTCAGAGAGCTGTACCAGCTCATTCAGGTGGTCCGGGTAGGTTTGTTTACACACTTGTTTGTCCTAGCATTTGTTGTACGTAAAATGTAGGATTTTGTATTGCTGTTGTCTGCATGTTATTTGAGAGGTCCTTGTATGTGTGCTGTGCATAATTTAGCCTCAGTACCTCCGCAAAGTATATTCTTGGAAGATGGGAGAATAGTTCAGAAAATGAAAACAAGATGCCATCGAGGCAATGCTCATATATACCACCTGTTAAGACATTGAAATATAAGTATGACTGTCAAGAAACAGATTATGAACAGCAAATTCTGGGCTACCAGTGCCGAACTTGGATATTATCAGAGGCTAACATATGTAAAACTAACACCTGTAAAATGAAATTGCTGAGGGAAGCCGCCAGCTCAACTCTTTCAATCCCTAGGGGTTAAGCATAAGAGGCCCAAGAGGTAGTAACAAGAGATTAAAGTTGTCATATGCTATGTTCATTGGGCTTCTAGGTAGGAACATATTAACGTATGATGGGTTCATTAGGCTTGAAATAGTTAATCACCTGAGACAAAGTGAGAAATGATTCTGTCAGACAGACTGTGAGAACAGCACCATGCGCCAAATTCATTGAGAAACAGAATATCAAATGGTTTGGTCATTTCATTTCAGAATGCAACCAGAACAACTACCATTACAGGCACTACATATGAGAAGATCAGATATGAAAGCAAGGTGTCACCCTGGGATTGATGCCGGTTAAGACCTGCATAAATATGGAATGACTGTAGCCATTGCTATTCATCAAGCAGTTGATAGAAAACTGTTCCTCCCCATGACTCTTAACAGCCAGAGTGGAAATTGATGATGATTATTACCTCCATGTACACAGGACAGCAGGTCATGTTACCATAGGGACCCCTAATGTCTTATTCATGTGAACTGGGTGTCTGGGTTTCGTTTATGTCAGAGTGGCATACAAAAAAGTGGCTCCTTGAGTCAATGGGTGTCAGACTTGTGGGTTCCAGTCTCAGAGAGGGAATACAGAAAACAGTTGTGTTTGTCAGCTGATCTCATAGTCATAACTTCAGTCCACAAGTGTATTGTTCCCTGGAGATCATCATTGGAGCTATGGGTTTCATATTAGAGATGTGCTCCTGCCAGGCACGTAGCTGTTCTGCAGAAAGAGACTGAGCCCCTGGTGCATTGAAGTGATCCTAGAAGGAAACAAATTTAAAAACAAAGTACCTTGACACAGTATGTTAATTGAAACCGTGATGAAACAAAGACATTGTTGTGTGTTGTAGTTTTTTCAATTTATTTTTATTTTGTTTGTATTTGTAAGGTTTTTCTTTTTCATGAGCTTGCCAGAAATTGTTTTCACTGATCGAGTGTGTTGCTTTGTCTCTTTAAGAATTATGTTGTAAAGCACACTTTTACTTTGTTTTCATATGTGTATAGTTCACTTTCAATACAGCTGTTTCTGGTGTACTAGTTGTATTCTCTAGCACACTTGATTCCAACTGATTTGATATGTTAGATAGTGTGTTTTTGTGAGCTTTTTATGGCATTCAGCTGTTGTGTTCTCCCCCCCCCCCCCCCCCCCCCCAATGTATGTAATGAGTTGGGTGATCTTCATGGCAGTCCAAACATATCCGTAGGTGCTCAGATTCTCTCTTCACCATATACATGATTATTCCATATGTAATAGTGCCTGTCCTTTGCTGGTTAACCAGACTTCTTGTACATCTGTTGTCTGACTGCCGATCTTTACTCCCCAGTTCTTCCATTCTTAGCAGTGATGTAGATTGTCTGAGTGTCTTATCTCTCTAACGGCATAGACAAAATTGGTGCAATCCATAGGCAGGCCATCTGCAACTAAGGCTGAAGTGGCCAATCTATATTAGCTCTTTCATTGCCGACAACAGCCACATTCTCTGGGAAAAAGATTAAGGTAGCTTCTCACACTGTGGCGTTTCGCAATGACTCGATCCACTTTCTGTATGTAGAGACTGCATCAACATACTGGATCAGGCTCATAGAATCACTCAGCACACACACACACATAGGAATAGTCCTGTGATTCAAGCCACATGAAATCTTGTGTCATCTGCCATCACATCCATGGTCATGCTGCTAGTAG